TTAAGAATCCCCATCTTCAAAAGTGGGATCAATCCGTGGCCTTTCACGGGGTGGTCAGGCTGGGGGTGGGTGAGTTGGCACAACGCTGGTGAGCAGGCACAGGGCGGCAGAGAAGGCTCAACAGTAGAGGTTCTTGCCACAGAAGCCTAGTGGCGGAAATTCAATGCCTGTCCCACCTGGAGGAAGGAGGTACAGACCGACACCCTCTGACCTCTACACATCCTGCCAAACCCACCCTGACACAAATAAATAGTTGTCTCCTGACCTTCATACATGCAATGTGCCCCTTGTGCTCAAACACGTGTATCATGCGTGCCACGCACACATACAATAATCATAGATAATTTTTAGCCACAACATAGTTGTGCACATCTTTAATCCCAGCACTTGGGAGGCAGAGGCAGGCGGATCTCTGTGAGTTCAAAGCCAGCCTGGTCTATGGAATGAGTCCTAGGACAGTCAGCGATACCATGTCTCAAAAAAAGTGAAAATAATAATTTTTTAGAAGTTAAAACAGCGAAACCCAAACCAGGCATGAGGGCACATGCTTGTAATCCCAGCGCTCTAGAGGCGAGGGAAAGGTCAGAAGCTGAGCCAGGCAGTGGTAGCACACACCTGTAGTCCCAGCAGAGGCAGCGGATCTCTGTGAGTTCGTGGCCAGCCTGGTCTACAGAGCTAGTCCGGGACAGCCAGGGCTGTTACACAGAGAAACCCTGTCTCAAAAAACCAAAAAAGTTGAACGTCACCCTCCACTGTCCAAGGACACCCTAGGAAACTATATCCAATTGCCTCAGAGAGAGAGAAAGAGAATCAACGCCCCCGCTCGCCTCCTTCCTCTCCCTTCTCCCTCCTTCCTCCTCCTTTCTCCCTAAGTCTTTTTACTATATGGAAGAAGGGAAACCTGAAATCTCTCTTCTGCCTGCTTCTCTCCCAGGCCTAACACTCAGTATCAATTACCAATCCATTATTCATTCATTGATTTATTTATTCATTCCCACGCCTGTTCAGCACTGCACACATCTTTTGTGTCTTGCTGGCATCTGGAAACCCTCTGGGACAGCTGCGCCTGGCTCCTGGCTCTAGGAGGCACAAACTCTGGGAGGGAGGAAGCTTCGCTCGGAGGGGGCTTGGCGCTATGGGAGGGAAGGACGGACTTCTTACCAGGTCACATCTTCCCCGGGCTGAGAAAAGTGAGGCAGGGACACTAGAGATGTGGAAAATGTTAGGAAAGCAAAACTTGATGCTCAGAAGCGAGGGCAGGCACGTTGAGGCAGAGGCACAGAACTGGAGGGAAGGTAGGGGTGGCGCACAGAGTGGAGGCGGCCGGATGGGGGTAGGGAAGGCACTGGAGGGTGGATCAGGTTGTCTAAGCAGGTCTGCAATCAGACCGTCTAGGAGGAAGCTGGTCTAATTCAGGAAGCGTGGACATTCCATGTCAGTTCCTGAAACATTTATTTTGAGTTACACAGGGACGGACTGCGTGGGCATGAGTGGTGGGGTGTTCTCATTTTTCCCTCCAGCTTTTTGGCTGCTAAGGTCTGAGTTCAGCCCCAGCCACGCCTCAGCTCTGCACAGTGCCCGGCTGTCTTCTCACTCCCCTCTCTCTATTCTCTATTTTTGATTGTTTTGTTTTCGTTCGTTCGTTTGTTTGTTGTTTGTTTTTGGTGTTTTGAGACAGAGTTTCTCTGTGTAACATCCCTGGTTGTCCTGGAACTCGTTCTGTAGGCCAGGCTGCCTCGAACTCATAGAGATCCACCTGCCTCTGACTCCCGAGTGCTGGGATTAAACTCATGTGCCACCCTGCCTGGCCTCCTGTATGAATTTTCTTTCTTCTTTTTTTATTCATATTTATTGAGCTCTACATTTTCTCTGCTCCCCTCCCTGGCTCTCTCCTCCCCTTCAACCCTCTCCCAAGGTCCCTGTGCTCCCAATTTACTCAGGAGATCTTATCTTTTTATACTTCCCATGTAGATTAGATCCATGTATGTCTCTCTTAGAGTCCTCATTGTTGTCTAGGAAAACTATGGAACGCTTCACGGATTTGCGTGTCATCCTGGCGCTGGGGCCATGTCGTTCCAATTTTAGTCCAGGTGCTGCCGAAGCGAGCACTCCTGTTTGAATTTTCTTTTTTTTTTAATAAAAATTTATTTATTTATTATGTATACAATATTCTGTGTGTGTGTATGGCCAGAAGAGGGCATTACAGATGGTTGTGAGCCACCATGTGGTTGCTGGGAATTGAACTCAGGACCTTTGGAAGAGCAGGCAATGCTCTTAACCTCTGAGCCATCTCTCCAGCCCTCCTGTTTGAATTTTCAAGGCCCGAGTTGACCTCCAGCTCACTGTGTGCCAGGGGATGCTGACCTGACCTTCTGGCTCTCCAGCCTCTGCTTCCTGAGTGCTGGGATCCCAGGCCTGCACCATTGCACTCAGAGACGGGGTGCTACAGATGGAACCCCGGGATCTGAGTGAGTGCGCTAGGCACACACTCTGCCAGCAGAGAAACTCCTCAAAGCCTATTTGGCCTTCTGACTGAGTCCACAGCTCCTATGAGGGCAGCTGCTTCCCTCTCAGCTTCTGGCCTCTCTTCCCTACTGAATCACAACCTTCTGCCCTTTGAGCATCCCCTCCTGACTCTTAGCACCCTCCAAAGTCTGCCACTAAGGGACAGTGCATGCCTGTCCTATTTGGAAAGTCTGGTGTTGTGGACTCCTCTGACTTTTTTCTTAAAATTATCATCATTATTATTATTTTATTATTGAGAGAACTCAGACTTCTCTCTGCTTTCTCAACCTCACCCTCTGTATTAGGGTCAATCACTTTGCATCCTTTGGTCCCAGCCCCTCACCAGGGAAGTGTAACCAGCATCGCTGTCAGTACGATGCACTGAGCCCGGGTGTGTCAGTGGCTCCCCTAGGCCCCAGACGCGCCACTTAAACAGCTTGCCACACAAGGCTGAGTCACCGGAGTGTTCACTGGGAGCTAAGTGAACTCTGTCCCACCCACGCGAGCCTCATACCTTTGCCTGGGGCTGATGGGAAACTCTGGGTTGAGGTGTGGAGAACGGGAATTGGGAGGTGCTGAGGCTGGAATAGAGGGTGGGCCTCATCAGCCGCAGGCTACCGTACACCTGTGTACAGGTGCTGGCCTTGCCTAGAAGTTCCCCAACTCCTGTGCCATCTGTCTAACCAGAATTGCAGCTGTCTTTCAGCACTCCTAGCAAAGCTTGCAGGGCAGCTCTGCCCAAAGGGCCCCCATCCCTTCCTGGAGCACCACCCACTGCCCACTGCCTGCGGTGGTTAATTTGGACCATTCACTGGGGGTAGAGGACACTTTCTCATGGTGGCTGGCATCTTCTTGTGGTGGCCTGCTATAAGTCTCGGGATAAAACAGTACAATTTGCTTGCCTACCTTCCCTTTCCATCCGTTCTGTTGCTGCAGCAGCTGCCTCCAGATCTCCGTCTCCCAGTGCCTACTGCAGGCCTACAGTAATTACTGTGGTTCTTTAGAAATACCGCAGGCCAAATGGGGACCGCTGAGGCAGGCAGCCTGGTGGAGCAGCCTCTCAGGCAGCAGCCGGCTTCTCCTGTGTTAGCCGGCCTAACAAGCCCCTGGAATAGACATTCATTTTGTCGCTCTGTCCCTGACTAATCCGTCTATATCCCTGACTGTCTGCTCTAACCCCAGTGTAGGTTTGCCCTGTGGCCTGCTCGATTGGTGCTGTCTTTCTCCAGGCTCTAACGATCTACCTTGGAACCAGTGCTCAGGGAATTCTTACCAAAGGAACGAACACTGTTCTCGGGCATTCTTCTGGGTCCCTGAAGTGGTGAACTTCAGAGTTCACGGTGAGGGTTCACGGCCAGGGGATTCAGGAAGTATAGACACATGTGTATCAGCTCAGGGCTGCAAGAAAGAGTAATGCAGTCTGCTGCAAACCGAGAGTCCACACGGCCTCGTTGGAAGTCTAGTGTTCAACATCAGCCTCACCCACTCCGGTCCTGGCCACAGTTCTGTGTTGTTCTCTACAGATCTGTTTTCAGTTTTGGGCACACCACTTCAAGATACACTCTCCTCCCCTTGTGAACACCCAGCTCTCTCCTGAGCGTGAGCTGGGGGAGGCAGAGGTAGTCGGTTTTTCTGTTTGCTTGGTTTTGTTTTTTGTTTGTTTATATATTATATGTTGTTTTTTTCAAGACAGGGTTTCTCTGTGTAGCCATAACTCTCTCTGTAGACTAGACCTGCCTCCAACTCACAGAGATTCGCCTGCCTCTGCCTCCCAAATGCTGGGATTAAAGGCTTTGGCCCCCACCACCCTCGAGGTAGTCAGCTTTGTTCTATTGAAGCCCCCGGCCATCTCATCGTTCAGTGCCTGGTTTATCGCAGGCAGGCGCAGCAGAGACATTGAATGAAATCGCCTTAGATCCCACTCCTGGCTCCTGGAAGCGTGGACCCAAGTCCCAGAAAGCCTCAGAAAAGGCCTTAAGTCTCCTTTGCTGTGGGGCGGGGGAGCATGGGATAGAGTAAAGGAGAACGCTCTCTCTCTTTGACTAGACCACAGGCTCCTTTTCTGCCTGCATCCACACACACATAGAGGCGGGGTCATCACACCAGGATCCTGTCCTGCACGCATCCCCACACACATTGGTAGAAGATGGGGTCATCGTGCCAGGGCTAGACTGCAGGTCCTTGTCCTGTGTGCGCCCCTCCCCACATGGGTAGAAAGAGCGGGTCATTACATCAAGGCTAGAGAGAAGGGCCCTGTCCTGAAAGCACCCACACACACATGGGGGGCGGTCATCACACCGGGGCTAGATAGAAAGGCCCTGTCCTGCATGCACACCCCTCCCCGCACACACACAAGGGCAGAGGAGGGGGTCATCACACCAGGGCTAGGGTAAGCCTCTATCCTGCGTGCACCCACACGTGAGACGCTGGGATTAGGAGGGCGCAGGAACCACGCACCGAGCCTGGGAGCAAGCGGCCGGGCGGGCGCGGCCTCCGGGTACCGCGGCGCTGCCACCTGCGCAGCCACCGCGCCGCCATTGGCTCGCGGAGAAGCCGCTCTAATCCGCGCCGCCTCCGCCCCCGCGCGGCGCTGCGCTCCGCGGAGTCTCTGACCTTCCTCCTTCCCGCAGCCCCGGAGAGACGCGCGACGGTCGCGCCGATCTCCTCCTCCCACGGGAAGCCGTCCGGGCTTCAGGCCGGGCCGCCGCCGCCCGCTTCGCCCCCCGCCGCCGATGGTGTCCGGAGCTCTGGCGCCCAGGTATTGGGTCTAAAACGTGGAGCGAGCGCGGGGTGGGGTGGGGGTGCGGGGAGGCCAGGGCCCCAGTGAGGGATGCAGGTCCCCAGCGTGTGGTGGCGTTGGACGCAGCGGAGGACAGGGACCTGGAGAGAGGTGGGCGCGCACCCGGGGACGCTCCTGGGCTGGACCCAGGCAATGCCAGGATGGCCCTGAACTAGGCCCCTTGGGGATGCCGAAGGGGAGGCCTTTACCCCGAGGAAAGAGGAGGAAATAGGTTTGTTGAGAAACTGGGGCCTGGCCCCGGGTGTTAAGTGTGTTTTTCTGGGACCAGCTGGAATGGGTGGGCCGGTGCCAGCTTGGTGCGTATGTTATTTCTGGACCAGAGTGGGCTGGGGGAGAAGCACAGCCGGCGATGTCTGGTTTAGATTACAGGTACTTCCTTCTTTGGTTCCGACCCCTCCCCCCACCAGCTGGGGTGGGGGGTGGAAGGAGAGAGGAGGTAGTGATGCTCAGGGCCCCCCGCAGATGCAGCAGAATCCTCTCTGCGCCACACTGCCCTCCCTCCACCGACCTCGGACCATTTGGTCACAGTTGGGGCGCTCCCCCCGGTAGTGTTCACCTTTTAGGAGGCTGTGGAAAGGTTAAAGGGTCATTAATGTGTCTGGGACACGGTGGCAAACTCCAGAGCTTGGCTAGACCCAGCTTCAAACCCCAGTTTTTCCCCACCTCTCCCAAGCCGAGCTCTGCAGCTTGAGGGGACGTCACACTTGCGGCCACCTTCTTTTTCTAGGCACAACCAGAAATAGCTACCTTTGTCAGGGGCCCTGGCACAGCTGGGGTGCCGATTGCCAATGGTTTGGGAAGCTCTGCCCCCAGCCCGGTTTTCTTAGATCATAGCCTCCAAGCAGCTTCCTGTCGCCCAGGTGAGAGGCCACCTCCCACACCGTGTTCCTGGACCCTGTCAGCCTTGAGGTTATTTATGTCTGGTCTGTCGCCCTCTAGACCAAAGTGTCTTCAGGCTAAGAATCTGATTTGTCTCTGTCATTGCTCCGGTGTCTGAGAAGGGCTCATCACTGAAGAAATGTCTGCAGTATGAATGAATGAATGAATGAATGAGTAAATTCTGGGCATTTGCTAGCAAGCTGAAAGATGGAAGGGAACCCCCTCTGGTCTTTCTACCTGCGCATCCCGGCCTTCCCCATCCTCCTCTTGTCGCCCCCCCCCCCCACTTCCGGGACCAAAGAGCCATGAAGCTCCTCTGGACCTGGGGTTGAGAGGCAGCTGTGACTTTTGGAAGGGCTTCCGCCCTGCTGGCTCCTGACTGTCTTGTTGGCCCCCTAATGTCCTTGGGGAATCTGGCCCATCATTAAGGGCTTCCCTTTCTTCAAGCCACCGGGCTGGTGATTTCTCCTGTGTCGCTATGCTCAGACCCTCGGTCCCAGCTCTAAGAAGACAGCCCATGTCATGCTCTGGGGCTGAGCGAGCCCCCAGCAGGCTGTCCTGGCTCTCCTGGCTCTTCCAGGAGCTGTGTGTAAAGCAGCATGGGGTTTTGCAGGGCCTTTCTTGGGCAGCCTTGCTCCTCTGACGAGGTTGTGCCACTGTGCCCAGTCAGCTGACCCCACCTCGCCCCCGCTCTGCCTTCTACTGCTCTGAGACTCTCCTTTCCTCTTCAGAAGCTTCCTTGGCTGTGTCCCCACCCCATCCTGCTCCCCTCTTCTCGGATCCTCTGGTATCACCCTGCCTCAGGTTTTGAGAGTGACATCTTTCCACATGGATACAGGGGTGTGTGTGTCCTGGTCTGGTGTCCCCAAGGCCTGACACAGAGAGACTTTACTTAACTTGTGAAAGCCTGACGTGGTGGTTCCACCATGACTTCAGGCAAGGTTCTCCCTCCTCAGGAGATGCCTGCATCCCCAGCAGGAATGACTGGCTGTGGGAGACCTCACTGGAGAAGGGAGGCCAGGAAGGACAGGGAAGGCCATCAGGGAAGGAGCTCGCTGATATGGGCCATCCCCCTGTGGAAGCAAGAGGAGGAGCTGAGAGAATGGGTGTCCTGGGGAGGGCCTGGAACTTACTATGACAAGCTAGGTCTGCTGAGCCACACCTCATCATCATGGGGGATTCTGCGCAAGGGCATCCCTCTGTGCTATATAGATAGCCCTGGCTACCTTTCTTCTTCTTCTTCTTCTTCTTCTTCTTCTTCTTCTTCTTCTTCTTCTTCTTCTTCTCCTCCTCCTCCTCCTCCTCCTCCTCCTCCTCCTCCTTCTCTCCTCCTCCTCTTCCTCCTCCTCCTCCTCCTGCTTCTTCTTCTTCCTCCTCTTCCTCCTCCTCCTGCTTCTTCTTCTTCCTCCTCTTCCTCCTCCTCCTCCTCCTGCTTCTTCTTCTTCCTCCTCTTCCTCCTCCTCCTCCTCCTGCTTCTTCTTCTTCCTCCTCCTCCTCTCCTCCTCCTTCTTCTTCTCCATCTTCCTCTTCTTCTTCATTATTATTATTAATCCTGAGACAATGGCGGTCACAGATAACCCCACAGGCTCCGAATAGCTGGAGGGACTCTCAGAGCTGTGTCCAGTTAGGTCCCAGCATCCTCAGGCACTGCTGCTGGGGACCGTGTGGGGCATCTATAGATGGTGTCCTGAGCAGCCAGGACCATGGCTGATGCTCACTTCCAAGAAGGGTAGAGGAAGGGGGGAGGTGGACTGCGGGAGGAGGCAGGAGCTGGGATGCCAACCAAGTGAGTGCTGCCAGCTCAGAAGGGGAGTGGGGCTGTGGGGCTGGAGAAATGCCTTTGGCCTTCAAACTGGGGCTCCTCAAGGCTGGAGGACCAGAGGCCGTGTCTACTTTTTAAGCATCACATGGTGTGGAAATGCTGGAAGGAGGGTGGTTTATTAGGTGAGCACGCTGGCTGCTCTTGCAGAGGACCTCCCTGGGTTTGATTCCCAGCGCCCACAGGGCAGGTCAGAACTACGCTTCAGTCCCGAGCATCCGGGACCCTCTTCTGACCTCGTCAGGGGCCAGGCACACGCAGTGCACAGGGATCCATGCGGATAAAACACGTGTGCACATAGAATAAAACAAATATATCAAAAACCATAGAAGCTGGCATGGGCTGGACTGGGGCATCAGATAAGATGCAGGCGCCTGGTTAAATGGTGAAATCTGAATTTGATGGGGATGTGGCTCCATAGTATAGTGCTGTGTAGCGGGCCCAGAGGCCCTGGGTCAAATCCCAGCACTGGAAAAAAAAAAAAAGCTCAGATAAATAAATTTATTTGTTTAAATATATATGCTTTTTAGCATAAATATATACCAAATGTTGCATTATAAACTTGTACCAAAAAGAGGGTTTTTCATGGCATCGCAATGACAGAACACGCTTCATGTTCCCGTGTGACAGTCCTAGACTTCGCCCTAATAGAAACATCTGGGGCCGTTGTCTCTCGGAGGGTAAAGATGGCTGGCTGCCGACTGAGGGCTCACAGGGTAGAAGAAGATAACGACTTCCACAGTTGTCCTGTGACCCACACATGTGTACCGTGGCACGAACTCACACCCCTCCACAATGAATAACTGTAGTGATTTAAACTCGATTTGTCTTTTATCTAAATCTCATTTGCCCTGGTGGCCCTTTGGCCTCTCTAGGCTGGTTAGGGATGGAGAGGGAAAGAGGACAGAATCTCCTATGTGCTCTCTTTCTGTCCTGCGGGAGGGGTCCTGGGTGATTATTGGGAATGAACAGGACTAAGAGATTGTGTGTGTGCATGCGTGTGTGTGTGTGTGTGTGTATACTTGTGTGTAACTGTGCAAGCATGGAGGTTAGGGGATGCCTTGGGCCTCACAGGAAACCTCTGTCCTGACGGGCCACCTTGCTTCAGACAGAGTCCCTTGTTCTGTGCTGCTCCTTCCGGACTTTCATGGGTTCTTACGTATTTTGTGTCTCTCTGTAGGAGCACTTGGCATTACAGACATTGCCACACCCAGCTTGAAGACTCAGGGCCTGGTGGCCACATGGACTCAGACTCAGGGCCTGATGGTCACAGGGCAGTTTTGAATTCTGTGTCAGTGAACCGATTCTCTGACCTGCCCAGAGAGTGCTCGCCCGTTCAGATGGACAAGCGAGGCGGAGCCTCTAAATAGGGTTAATCCAGTGCTGCACAAATCCTCACAGTAAGCCTTTTCCTGGCGTAGGGTGTGGCGGACAAACCCCCACATCTCTGGGGGAGAATGTGCTGGCACCCCCTCTTTTGGCCATCCCACTTTGGGGCCATCCCAATAGGTGCAGTTTTAGCGAGGGCAGTCTTAGTCTTGGTTGGGTGACGATGGTCAGCTGGCTGCCACCAGGAGGACGTGATGCAGTCAGACTCCCCCAGTGCCAACCGTAGGGGGTTCTTCCTTCTGTCCGTCCGTCAGCGCCCTCTGCTGTGTACCAGGCACAGGTGCTTGGGGACACTGGGGGAAAAGGACGACGGAAGACGGAAAAGAATGGTTGTACCGTGTAGAGGATGGAGCAGGTGGCTATGTATGACTAGGACTTGATTTCTCTCTTAATTTATTTAACTTTATTTTATGTGCATCGGTGTGAATGGGTCAGATCCCCTGGAACTGGAGGTACACACAGTTGTGAGCTGCCATGTTGGGTGCCGGGAATTGAACCTGGGTCCTCTAGAAGTGCTCTTAACCGGTGTGCCATCTCTCCAGCTCCTGATTTGGTTTTGTTTTGTTTTGTTTTTTGTTGTTTGAGACAGGGCTTGACCGTGTAGCCCTGGCTGTCCAAGAACTCACTCTGTAGACCAGGCTGGCCTGGAATTAGGCTGGCCTTGAGTTCACAGAGATATGCCTGCCTCTGCCTGCCGCCCCCACCCCCACCAAGTGCTGGGCTTAAAGGTTTACATCACCATGCCTGGTCCACCTCAGGTTTTTATTTAATTAGTTACTCTGTGAAAAAAACATTGGTCTGGGGCAGGACACGCTGCCATGTGCTCTGACTCTAGAGGTGTATGTCCTACGTCTGCTGTCCCGCGGGCCAG